GTATAAAATCAAATGGCTAAGGTAATGGAACAGATCACAGATTCAGAAAATGAAGGTTCTCACTTGAAATTGTGGTTTCTAAGTAGTTCAATCCTTGATTACCCAGTTTATATTTTGTATTAAACTGCTTTAAGAAGCAGTGAAGAATCTTTTGGTTTATGTTTTCTATGGAGTTATGTTTCAGTATGGAGTCATTCTTTTCAAACAATGAGTAAGGCCAGTTCTGGCATGGAATCAGTCGTTTCTGTGGTGGTTAAATGTATCCTAACTTAACTGCTCATAGAGTGCCCACATTTGGCGAAACGTTTTTCTGGGTTTGTCTGTGAGGTCATTTATGGATGATCTTAACATCTGAATGGTAGACCAAGTGAAAAAATTTGTCTTCCCTCCTGTGTGGACCTCATCCAGTCAATGGAAGAGCGGAACAGAACAAACAGGCTGAGTAATGGGGGCTCCTGACTGATGGGTTGAGCATGAAAATTTGTGTTTGCTGGACTGGAGAGTTGAGACAAAATCTTGGCCCTAATGGAATTTGAAGCCTATTATTAGCCTTTGTAGCAGAACTTAGCCTACAGCTTTCTTCATTCTCTGTGCTCAGGACTCAGAGTCGAACTGCATGTTGGCTCCTCTGAGTTTCTTGTTAACAACTGCAGATCTTGAGATCTCTCTGGCTCTATGATCTTCTGCTCTAGTTCCTGACAGGACACTCTTTGCATGTTTAGACATTTCTGGTTCATTTTCTCTGGAAAAGCCCAACAAAACAAGGCCACAATAGACCATCTCTCATTTCTGGAACTAAATCTTGTCTCTACTAATCTGTGTTAATAAATAAAAGATATGATCTCAAATCTACTCCAACTACTCAAGACTATTTCTGCAGATGTGCTACATATAAACATTTCTACTTATTTTCTTACTTTTTTTTTCCTATGGGATCTGTTTCATCTTCCACACTTTAACTACGGTATTTAGTTTGATAGCAGAAAAAGAAACATTTATTATACTTTTATAGGCCTAACTACATGTAGGGTAGTTATCTTTAATTTTATCTGCATACATAGACTACAATAGATAATTTCCAAAAATCCCCCCACCCCGCCTCTCTTTCTTGTAAAGAACACAGAAATCAGAAAGGTTTAATAAACCTTCTGATACACAGGCATGCTCCTCACAGAATTCAGCATCAGAGCTTGAATGCAAATTTGGATGGTGTTTTGAACTAATGTGTGATGGAAGAAAGAGAATGAATTATGTTTAAGGCTATAGATTTTTGCTTCAACAACCTGAGTGAAACCATATAAAATGGCTGTAGGGATGATCCTTGAAAGTTAAGTGGTGTTGAGAACCAAAGCCACAGAAGCAGATCACTGCAGACTCCAGGACTGTAACTATTGGACTTTTTTCAATGATTTATTTTTTAATTCACTTTACATCCTGATTGCATCCCCCTATCCTATCCCTTACAAATCCTTCTCCCCAGTGCTCCCTTCCCTTCTTCTCAGAGAGGGGGAAGCCCCCCCTTAGGTACCACCCTACCCCAGGACATCCCGTCACAGTAGGACTTGGCACATCCTCTTCAAATGAGACTCAACCAGGCAGTCCAGCTAGGGGAAGAGGATCCAATGGTAGGCCACCTTGAGTCAGAGAGTCAGAGACAGCCGCTGCTCCAGTCGTTAGGGGACCCACATGAAGACCAAGCTGCACATCTGCTCCAAATGTGTAGTGGGCCTAGGTCCAGCCCCTGCATGCTCTTTGGTTGGTGGCTTCAGTCTCTGTGAGCCCTCACAGGCCCAGGTTAGTTGAGTCTGCAGGTCTTCTTATGTCAGACATAGAGTTTTTAAAAGATGTTTTTTTGTCCTGTTCATCTATACCCCCGCATCTGTTCATTTTCTTCTCTTCATCCTTCTCGTTCCTACCCACCTCCAGTTATTCACAATGCAAAAAAAGTGATGCATGCTTGAGATGATTCATCAGCTAATTATCCAGTCACTGTCCATTGTCTAGGGATATTGAAATATCACTGTGTACCTTAGAAATGTGAACCGTTATTACATGCCAAGTTAAAAATATTTTAAAAATTCTACCCAAACACATATACTAAAACAATGAGTCCTTGCTTTTTTCAAGAAAATAAAAGCTAAGCTTAAAAGACGTGGGGAGCAGGACAGTGTCATGTGGGATATCTAGTAATAAGTAACTAGGGAACTTAGAATTTAAAAGTATAATTGAAATTAGTAGCTTGCCAGCTCCCTAGGTACAGCTGAAGAAAAAAAATAAACTGGAAAATAAGTATAAGAAACTATTCTGAGTGCAATACAGAGACAGTATGAACAATTACACATAGAGCATGAATTAGTAATAGTAATAATGATAATGATAGAAGTTCTATCTAATATTATTTCATTGGGGTCTAAAAGCACCAGGAAAAGGGGCAGAAGCAGTACTGGAAGCAATAAAGAAGAGGATGCATGTTCCCACAGCCTTGCTCATGGCTATGGATACCAGCTGCATCCTCTCAGGATTTCAGGCCAGAACCTTGGTCACCTCTCATTTCTTTCTTTTTCTATACATATTCAATACATCATGAATTATTTTTGTAATGAAAAAAATGACTGGCAAAACTATTTGATGTTTTGGATGGCACTAGATCGATCCACAGGAAACTTGAGCAAAAATATGGAGTTCCCATAGGTCCCCTGTGTGTCCCTCTCTCACACCCACTCCCAGCATCCCTCACTGGAATAGAGCATTTGCAGTAAGTGATGAGCCTGCATTGGAAAGTTTACAGTTTAGTGTAGTGCTCACTTTTGGAACTGCACATCTCTGGTTGGGATGGATGTATAATGAAATGTATCCACCTACATTATACTTACCAGATACTTTCTCTGCTCTAAAAGTCCCCTGTGCTTTGCCTATTTGCCCGTTCTTTCCACAGACCCTGGCCAGACTCTTGTACGATCATCTTTCTGACATAGCATAATGCTTGACACATAGCTATCCCTGACCAGTTTTCTTTAAGTATGGTTGAATGAATGAGAAGAATGAAGGCTGAAAAGAGACAATCAGAACGACTTGCTTTTATCCTGCTATTGATTTTTCGATTTCAATATTTATTCACTCTGATTGCTCCTCTTATTCTGGGATGACAGCAAGTCCACAGTATCTATTAAATTTAAGAAATGTTCTCTGGAGCATACACAGGACAGTCCAAGGTCCTGGCACAAATATAGCAGAGGATTGCCTGGTCAGGCGTCAGTGGGAGAAGATGTGCTTAATCCTCAAAAGACTTGAGACCCCGGGGAAGGAGCAAGCCTGGGGGAAGCACCCTCTCAGAGGCAAAGGGGAGGAGGAATGGTATGAGGACCTATGGGAGGGGGACTGAGAGAGGGGGCAACTACTAGAATGTAAATAAATAAAATTTAAAAAGAAAAGAAATGTGCTCTGGGAGGTTCAAGGGTTTTTTGTTTTGTTTTATGAATGACCATTTTATCTAAATATGCCACATTTGAATTTTTTGTTTCATTATTCCCCAGTGAGATTAAATTGTGTATGTGCATCTGTGCGTGCACAATGCAGATGTGTGCAGGGGGTGTATGCTCATATGCACACGTACATACATGTTAAGGCCCGAGGTTCTCTCCAGGTGTCCCCCATAATCACTTTCCTCTTTACTTTTGAAACAATCTCTTACTGAACCTGAATCTCTTTTATTAGCTATGCTGACTAGTGAGTGATCTGCAGGGACCTTTCGTTTTCTCCCCTAGGGCAGGGATTACAGATGCATGCCATTACCCCAGATGTTACATGAACGTTAAGGATCTGAGGTCAAATTTTCATGCATAAGCAGCAAGCACTTTACTGACTAAACTATCTCCCAAGGCTCTGAAATGTATTTTTATCTGATGGGCACAGTCTTAGGGGGATTAATAGCCTTTCGTTTTTTGAACAAAAGTGCCTTCATAAATTATTCCTGTTTACTTGGGAGTGTAAGCAATAACCACAGAACAGAGAAACATGTTCGTCTACAGTAAATACAGTCTTAATCTAGTTTGTATCAGTTCATATGTATGGGACATAAAATTATTGGGACAGAAATTAAAACATTACAGAAGTGAATGTCTTGCGGATTCACACTTGCAATAACTTTCATTCAAAGCTATGAAAGACTGCAGTTTATTATTAAGCAGATAAGCTTTCTGTTGTAATAACCAATGTTATGTTATTTTCTATCCATTTCAAAGTATTTCAGACATTTCCAAATTGTTCCTCAGATATTTTGTTCGGTTATAAATTGAAACGAAAAGTATTGTACAGGATGCAGAATTCCAAGTTATTCTTTTAAAAGTTTCTATTCTTCGCCCCCTCCAAATGCAGAACATCGGGGAAGTTCATTTAGATATTGAAATTTCGTTCATTTTAATTTTGAGCATATTGGTTTATATGATTACCTTCTAGTGATAAAGTTGCTTGTTTATGTCTTATACAAATGTCAGGTTTGATTTTAAATTAAAGTTCTGTGATCTAGGGATATCTGGGCAAAGTTATTTTAGGGGCTTGAGTTTGGGTTTTAGGAATCAAGTGGGATATGAAATTACTACATAATAAAAATGAGCTTCCAATAGAAAGATCAGAAATTGTTGGCTAGTTTCAACATATTTCAAAACTATATTAATTTTCCAAGTAAGGAGGTGGCTTTTCATATAGCGATAATGGCGGTCTTAGATGCTATGGAGGACGAACTGTAATAATAATAAAGGGAATATTGTTCATTCATTCAGGAATTACACTGCAAGCAGTAATATTTGCCATCTTGAAGGAAAACAGAACCTTCAGTATGTATTTTTTTAAAAAATACACCACTGAGCATAGTCTTAATTATGGTATTATAAATGGATATGAGCTTTAAGTTGAAATATCAACTCGTGTTCATGAAAATAATTTCAAGTCTTGAGGGGTAAACTGACTGATTAAGTTCATGGCAGTTCTATTTTTGTTCACAGATAATGCCTCTGAGGTAGCAATTACTGCTCCAGGAACTAGTCACCATAGAAACAGTTCTACAGGCCCAACACCTGACTGCTCACCTCCGTCCCCCGACACTGCCCTAAAAAATATCGTAAAAGTTATCCGACCTCAGGTAAGTAAGTACGCAGGATGACATTGCCTGCATTGTAATGTTTGGTTTTGAACTAATACATGCAAAATACTATACTTCAGTGCTGGAGCTGGTATGTAATATAGAATAGAATTTTTTTACATTAAGAGAAGAGATACAAAATAGGCTGTTTGCTTCTGATAAAGTTCATAATAATCACTGAGATCTCTATTAGTTCTTGGAAAATGAACTTTTTTATTATGAGAAGGAATAAAGGAAGCTTAGAAAAATGGCTGTTTCACATTTTCCTTTGAGTGTTTATGAGGCTGTGGTTGTTGAGCTGCTACTGTGTTCTGAAGCTTTGTGTGGACACATTGTGTTGGTTTGTTTCTATCCTCAACCTCAGTGAAGTTGATACAGTTGTTTTCCATTGCTCCACCCCTGTGCTGGGTATGGCACTACCCACTCTCTGTATTGTCCTCCAGGGTTCATGGTCTCCGTAATCTGCCTTTACCTTTTGTTCTTTTTCCCATTCCTGTCACTTCCTTGCATGTCTTTCCCCCTCACCCCCTTCTCTTTCTGTTGGATTTCCCAGTAGGCGGTTTGCAGGCAAGCTTTAGAAATATCATTGGGACAAGCTGTTCTGTGATATTTCATTGAAAATAGCACTTATAAAGCTGTTTGCATTATATTTTTGCCAACAGATGGACCTAGAACATGGAATTGGTGGTGTTCTCAACCTGGCTCTTTCTGAATGGGCTTTATAAAATCCAAGAGAGGGGGTACTTAGGATCCAATCAATGTCTTTCCTCAACGCTGAGACAGAAAGCATGAATAAACCCAGACCCAGTCCGTAGTGCCATCGTGTCTAAGACTGTGCAAGCAACAATTTGTTTAATAAATAGCATTCTTATAATTTACTTTAGATTATTTTATGACAAGCCCATCCTCAATAGCATTTCAACGTCATATTCCAGTACAGGTTGTAGAAGGCTTTTGTATAAATTTTTTCACTTAAAAGTCGTTGATCCCCTGGGAATTTATAGACAGATGTTCCAAGATACTGGGGTTCTAATGGGTTAAAACTGGCCATCTACTAGGGAGCTCCTTTGATTTCTTTTAATATGACATCTATTTCATCCAGTCCTATTCAGCGATTAAAACCTCCTCAAAAAACTGTGTGAGTCATCTTTATGACAATTGAATGCACACGTGTGGCATTGTTTAGGCACAGATAACGTTATAATACCTCAGTATAAAGACAGAGTAAGAACATGTTTTCAAGAATCTCATCTCAGTCTTCCTGAGCGAAACTCGGATTCCGATGGTGAGTGCCACAGTTGTACTCACTCTTCTCAGTCTCTATCCAAGGGCTTTGGTATGGCTGTGTACATTAAACAATTCCAGCACTTACATTAAAACCGCTTCGTTTTATGCACATATATTAGTTATTTTTTAATCATGATATAGATCATCTAATTTAAATTTTCTTGGTCATTCTTGAATGAAAAACAGATTCCTGAGAGATACTGGGTAAGGATTCTCTACCAAAAGAGAGAGAGAATTAGTCTTTCCCAGGGATGAGACCCCCTAGTTAGTTATTCAATACCAAGTTATCCACCCTGGAATGATGTACATGCATGCAACGGGATGTGGAAGCAGCATATTGTGTACAGACACACACACACATACACACACACATAAACACACACACACACTTAAAAACATACGCTTTAAAAATAAAAGGATAAATACAAATCTTATCAACTTGTATTTCTTTGCTTGTGTATTCTTGGACCTGTATAAGCATGTGAACTGGAGGGTAAACTTGACCTTATTCACTGAAAATGGATGCTGCTCAGGTAGCATGAGCTGGACCACCTCCTTCCTTGGCTACATGCACACCTTTACCTAGCTAGGTCTGTATTCTCCCACTGTATGGAGAGAATCCATTGCAAGCATGGAACCCTGGCTTTCAGAGGGGGCTGGAGGCTTGCAGCATTGCAGGTGTTCTGATTAGCATGTTAATTCCCTGCCAGCCTCAGAATTTCCAGCGCTCTCTATTGAGTTTGTTTTGCTCTGCGTGTTTATTAACTACCTAAGTCACAGCTGTTGGTTTCACGGTCCTGTTTGATCTCCTCAGCTTTCTTTCTTTGGGTCCTTTCCTGTCTTGAAAGCCTCCAGATTGTGAAACATCCTATTTTTAATTAATAAGAACTGAAATATTTATATGCTACTGGCTTTCTCTTTGTTTCTCTCAAGATATTAACCTACAAGGCTGAGTTTTTTTATTTAGAGTAACCCACAGGCTTCTACCTGAAAAAAAAATAGAGTGATTTTTACACTTGAAAATACTTGAAAAAAAATCTCTTTCTAAAAATTAAGTAGGTGCATTGACATGCCGATTTTCTTTCCACTAAATAATTACATATTGCTTAAGTTGGACTTTTTGTTCCTAAACTGACATATAAAATTGTATGTATTTGTAATCTACAGTAGTACATTTAGATGAATACATACTTTGTGAAGTACAAAACGAATGTCATTAATAAATGCCTTCCCTCCCATCATTTCGTGTCAAGAATATTTAGCATCCTCTCCCTTATCATCCTCTCCCTTAGCATTGTGTATCCAGTGTGTTACCACTTACATAGTCACCATGGTGTAGATAGCTTTCTTGAACTTACTTCTATCTAACTAAAAGTATTTATCTCTGATTAGCATCTTGCCCCTATCCATCCTGGCCGCTGGTACCCCCTATTCTGATGTCTATATCTATGTGATTATTTACTCTTGTATTTCATAGAAAGTGAAACTGTGTAACAGTTGTCTTACTGTGTCTGACTTAACATCACTAATTGTCGGGGAAATGCAAATTAAGACCATAATGAAATATCATCTCATTCCTTTAAAAATGGCTATTATCAGAAAGACTGGGGATAATAAGCATTGGGAAAGATAGAGAAACCTGAACTTTTGCACAGTGTGAGTAGAAATGTAAATTAACATAGCTATTATGGAGAGCTGTGTGGAAGCTCCTGGGTAGCTAAAATTGTGAGTAGCAAATAATAGCACTTGCCATATGGTCCAGCAGCTCCATTTTTCGTGTAGCTCTAAAGTCAGTAGGTCAAAGAGAGATCTGTGTTCCATGTTTATGGCAACAGTAGTCGAAATAACAAATGTAGAAAATCAACCTAAGGATTCACCAGTGGATGAATGGATAGAAAAAAATGTATATTCTCATGACAGAGCAACATCCAACCATACAAATGAAGGAAATCATGTCATGATGACACATATGACCTTGGAGGATGTTAAGTAAAAAAAGTAAAATGTTTTTATTTTTTAATATTTTATGGTAAAAAAAATCCTTACAACCCTTCAAATAAAATGCACAGATCATAAGTGAAAGATTCACACTTAGTCTGTTGTACCTGTAGGTGTAATTTTGCTCAAAGTAGAAAGAAGTCCTGCCATCACTCCAGAGATTCCTCCTGACCCTTACTGGGAAATCTCCCTCATTTCTGTCTCATGTTGGTTTCATGCTGCAGATTAAAATAATCTGTTAATAGACTTCATATAAATGGAATCCTTTTGAAATTCATCCCTGTTACTGTTTTTTTCTAAATGAGTAATATCCCATTGGATTAATATACTACAATTTGTTTCTTTGTTCTCCTGTTGATTAGAGCTTGGTTTATTTTGTTTGTTGTTTTGTTGTTGTTGTTTTGCCTTTAAATGTATTCTTCGAAATAAGTGTACAATATATCTTGATCTTATCTATTCCTTGCTTCCTTCCTCGAAACAACTCTTTCTTAATCCCCTAATATATTATCTTCCCAATTTCACACACACACACACACACACACACTGTATAACACTGAGTCCAACTGGTGCTGCCCATATATGCACGAGTGTGTTGGGGGGGTCATCTAGTGGAGCATGGGTAACTACTAGCTAGTGGTAACCCTCCAGAGCAAAGTGACCTTTCCTCCTCCAGCAGCCATGAGCTGCCAATAGCTCCTCAGCTAGGGGTGGGGACATAGAAGCGCTTTCTACTCCATGTTAGAATTTTTAGCTAATTTGAGCTGTGTAGGTCTTGTTCATGCTGCGAGCTATATTGTTCATGATTACACATGAGTATAGTTGTATGTTTTTATAGATATGTTTTCATGTGTATACATGAAAATGTATGGTTGGGCTTAAGGTAGATAATTTTATAATAAACTTTCCTACAGTCTTAAAGTAGTCATTCTACGTTATAACCGCCAATAGCAATATATGACAATTTTGGTTTCTCCACAACTAAACTGGTTAATCATTTTTATTTTAGCCATCCTCATGTGTGTGAAATGATTTGTCACTGTAGTTTAAGTTTTTCTGGTGACTAGTGACATCGCGTGCCTTTTCTGTGAGGAACTTCTCTTCATTTTTAATGAAATTTTTCAACTTTTTAATTTTTGGTTGAGCGTAATTTTGCATATGCTCTCTTGTAACTCCCAAAGATTTGGATCCATTGTCAGACACATACATGCATTGTGGTTATTCCCTTCCAGACTCTAATTTGGCTATGCGTTATTATGTGTATCTATTGATGAATATAATTTTATTTTTCTTTTCTGGTTACTTATTTTTGTCTTGTCTGGTATATGAATGTATTCTCTCACATTTTATTCTAGAAGTTTTTTTTTTTTATCTTGCTTACTCTAAGCCCAGGTTTATATTCCGTTTAGGCTATTTCATACATTATGTGAATTAGGAGTCAAGATTTGATTTCGGCTACCAAGATAAAGGTTTGACTCAGCAAGATGAATGATACTTTGTGAATTTTAGCAATTTTTACTTTCTAAATGTTGTCGGTACTTAGAAAATCAATTAAATTTTATGTTGTATATTAAGTTATAGTTGATTTTGCTTTTACCACCACCACCACCACCATCACCACCACTACCACCATCATCATCTACATCCTGACAGCAGTTTCCCCTCCTTCCTCTTCTCCCAGCCCCTCTACCACAACTCCCTTCTGTTCTCCCACATCT